CCGTACTCACGGAATAACGCTTTGTAATAGTGCTGTATAATGCAGCACAATATCACCGCTTGGAGATGGATGTCCAGGGCGGGTGCGGGGAAGAGGGAGGGGCGAGAACAGTGAGTGGAGGGGTTGAGGCAAGGACAGGGAAATAATGATGGAGTACCTCAAAGTTTGATGCAAAAACGCATGATCGCACCGGCTCGCCTGGTGTGTTCCAGCCTGGGTTACTTTTTAAGCAAATATTCTTTAACTCATCTTCAGTGCAAAAGGGACCATCCCTCATTTAAACGCATAATTACTGTAAAAATGAAGTGTAAAGAAGTCCTTCTAAAGACTTTTTGGCTATGAAATTAATATGAATCTTCGAAGATGTAATCAGTGGGACAATACATGCTGATAGTAATGAGTTGATTGCATGCTAATTGAAAACAGTAATGATTCATGCTGATAACATATTTTAGGGTTCATATGGAAAGAATGGTACGGCTAGTAATGCGTCAGTGAATTCATCATTTACCAGTGAATAATAATTGGCCAGCGTATGGAGTGCCGATGCGAAGACGTGTTTTTTGCATAGTTTTCAGCAGGTTTTTGTCGCTAACGATACTGTTTTTCCAACAGATTTTTCTAGCTAAAAGAATTGAGACTGGCCACCACGACTTCAGAAGACATCCCATGAAAATTTCAGCTTTCTAGCTTTTCTGATTCCCGAGTTAGAAGTTCACCGCCACAAGCTTTCACGTGCACATAGATGGTAATCCTGTTTTCCAAATCAGTTACGGCATTCACTTCTTTAGATATTTTTTATGCTTATACAGATGACTGGGTTCTCGACGACACGTTCATGTTAGTTGCTTCTGTTCAGCTGGTCTTCAACAACTATAACCATTTTTTTATTTCCTTAAAAAAAAATTGCATAAGTTGTTTTTATGCGTTTTTGCTGTGTAGCGCTATAGCACTGCTACAGCCATCAAAAACGCATATTGTCGAGAGGCTGTCTCTGTGTGTGTACGTTCAGGAACGAGTATATTTTGTCATCCACTTTCATTTCAGCAACCAGAAAGCAGGGAGGCTGAAACTTTGAGTGCGTGTTCCTACCCCGTGTGCCACCCTTCCGTTTCAACATATTCCCCTCACGCGCCTAGACCCCGTGTACGGACCCCCCCCCCCAAAAAAAAATATGTTGGCGGCAAACGATTCCGCCGACCAGGCAAGGTAGAAAGTTGAAGCTTTGCAGGGATACTATCTATGTACGTGCGAGCTAAAGATTTTAAACTCAGCTGTCGAGCACCCCAACCACAGCCTCAAGCAGCTCATCAACCCAAAAATCGTTAAGAAATCCATCGCAACCCGGCCCCGAATCCCGATCGTATTTGTAAATGAACATTAGTTAATTTGCTTACATGAATTTTATGACAAACGACCGTTCGAGCAATACTTCCACTTTTAAGTGAACTGGAAATTTGCATTTTTTCAAAAAATTTGCATTTGTCATTTTTTCACAAAGCGAGCATTTACCCAAAAAAGGACTGGACTTCATGCAAAAAAAAAAAGCCGGTAATTATGCGCCTGGTTGTCCGCACGGCTATATAATGCACCACCTTCATCCCAACTGACGCTCTTCCTCATGCATGCCGGAAAGGATCAAAACGCGGCCAATATGAGCCCAATTGTCAGGCTACCGCATAGGGAACATTACTGCTAATAGCGATCTGCGAGTTTAGTGCAAAAACGGACGATCGCACCGGAGAGCCTGGTGCGTTCCAGCCTGAGTTTTAAAAGCAGTCATTTTCGATGCTGCGAGATGCACCGGCAAAATCCTTAAACACCAGGCTTCAAAGGTCCCCATCGTCATTCGAAATTTCAGCATAGTATGGCCAATGTTCTTGCAAAGCACGCATATGCCGGAAGAGAAAAGCGAATCTTGAGGGCCAAAAGTTCCATATAAATGCTGGTTGGAAGCTTTGTGTCTGCGATCTGTACTTAGAAAATGTAGAGGACAAAATTTTTTTTCACGCATGACGGACAGAGTTTGAAGCCATTATTTTCTCCTCCTTTCTTCCAGCCCACGATATTCTGTAGTGTCTCGGCTCCTTAACATTAGAATGTGCTATAATCTAGTCAAGTTTGGGGAGAAAAAAAATTTCTGGAATAATGGTTTTGCAGAATTATGCCTAGGTATCATGCACATGTCGAAATGTAACTGCTATTTTTTTCACTTTTGTTCAAAAGAAAATTTTTGTGATGGATTTTTGCACATCGCGATGGGCACTTTTTGAATCACTGCCATTCTTAGCTAATTTTCTGCTCGAAAATCAGTAAATTTGCATACGCCTTACGTATTTTTAAGCCTCGGTTACTGTGCATTAATTAATTCAATTATAAATGCTAGATCGCCGGTTCAGGAACATTGGTTATTTTTTAAACAGCGTCAGTGAAAAGCGCAAAGGGATGACCACACAGGTAGTACACCTTAAAATTCAGCGAAAGAGTATAAGGTGTCAGGCAGATTTTGAGAAAAATTCTAACGG